GCTATTGCCCTGGGTAGAGTGCCGTGACATCACACCTCACAGCAACCTCAAACTCCTGGGCTTAAGCGATTCTCTTGCCTCAGCCTCCCAAGTAGTTGGGACTACACACGCCCGGCACAACGCCTAGCTATTTTTTGGTTGTAGTTGTCATTGTTGTTTGGCAGGCCCGGGCTGGATTCGAACCCGCCAGCTCTGGTGTATGTGGCTGGTGCCTTATCCTCTTGAGCTACATGTGCCAAGCCCCGGCTATTTTTTTGTTGCAGTCATCGTTGTTTTAGCAGGCTCGGGCTGGGCTCAAACCCACCACTCTCCATGCATGGGATCGGCGCCACAATCACTGTGCTATAGACACCGAGCCTATTCCCATAAATTTTTTATGATGGGGGTATGTGTGTCCATGTTGTGGCAAATGGGAATGGTGGACTAGGGGATAACAATAGGTAAGAGAGGCTCGGTGCCTATAGCTCAGAGGCTAGGGCGCCAGTCACATACACAGGAGTTGGCGGGCTCGAATCCAGCCCGGGCCTGCCAAACAACTGTGACAACTACAACCAAAAAATAGCTGGGCATTGTGGTGGGCGCCTGTAGTCCCAGCTACTTGGGAGGCTGAGGCAAGAAAATCACTTAAACCCAAGAGTTTGAGGTTGCTATGAGCTGTGACAGCACAGTACTCTACTGAGAGTGACATAATGAGACCCTGTCTCAAAAAAAAATAGCCAAGAGAAAGTGTTGAACCACTAATAGTTCTGAAACTAAGAGCTATCATACATCTATAATTGGCTAAAAAACAGTTTTACTTTTAAATCAGATTATTGGGTTTAGAGATGAGGAAATAGTCTCAACATCTGGTATGTAAAAAGTAGGTATGCTGTTATTTCATATTTGAACTTGGTATCTTGAATTTAAAGCCTTTTTTCCCCCTATAGAATATATGCAGAATGATTGAGGATTGTGTTAGGCAATTATGTTTTAGAAAGGGTTGCAAAGATCTTTTCTATTCAAATAATTCTTCAGTAATAGTACATATGTAACCAGAGAATTAGTATTGAAAGTGTCTAATTAAACTTGTCCTTTTCAATACAGGGAAGAGCAGGCCTCCCCAGGCACATTCTCTTTTAAAGTTATCTCATTGGGGTTATGGTCAATAAGAATGAAGAAAGTAATATTTTAGGTTCATTCCCCTTTGAGTGATTGAGTTTGATCTTTCTAGCCATGGTAGGCCTTTAAAAGGAACATGGTACTTCTGACTCTCATGATGAAATGTTTTATATTTAATAATTACAATATTTAATTTGCCTGGCAGACTTTTACAGTGTAATCCAAAATAATGACTTTTAACCATGCTATAAGCACTTTGAAAACTCAAGAGACACCTGGAATTTCACCAGAGCTCAGTGGGGCTCATGTCATCTTCAATACCTTCACTATACATGCTCCCTAGGAAAATTTATAGAAGTTGAGTGTGTTGCGAGCAGGCTGCTATGGTGGGATACAAAGAAGAAAGCTTATATTCTTAAGGTGCTTACAGTTTAGTGGTTAAGAGAAATACACAAATAATTACTATTTTTGTGGAAGGCCTAAATGCTATGCCATGGCTTTTGAACTTGATTCTGTGGGCAGTAGTGTACTATGAAAGGTGCATACAAAATGGGATGAGTGCCAGACCAGAGGTTAGTACAGAGTGCTGTGAGAGAGTAGAGGAGGGGGAGATTAATTCTGGTTGGAGGAGAGTCAGGAAGGTTTAATGGAAGAGATGGCATTTGATCTGGGCCTTCAAGGATGGGTCAGAGTTGTACATAGAGAAGGGGGAGGACTAAGTGGAAAAGTCCAGGTTATCCCTCGATAAAGGAGCACAGTCAAGACCAGCTGGGAGAATGAGGTATATGGCATGTTTAGTGAAAGTATGGGAAAGTAGTTGGGACAAGTTGTGGAGGGTCTTGAGTGCCAAGCCCAGACATAGCCTCAGCAGTGGAGGGATGTGATGAGATCTTCAGGTACTCCTTTGTGCTTCTTCCTGGCATGTCTCGAGTCTTCCCCTAGCTTTCCATCCCCACTGCCTTTGATCTAGGTCCAGCCCTCATTACCTCTTGCCTAGACTGTTCATATACAACAGTCTTACCTGCTTGCTCTGGTTCCTTACCTCCCCCAGTGTTCTGCATCAGCTTAATCATCCTAAAGCACCTGTCTTCCTTAGAAACCTTCAGTGGTTCTGTTTTGTCAGCAGGGTAACATCTCGATTCCCTGGCCAGGTAATTCAAGCCCCTCTTGCCCCATGCAGTGTAAATCTTATGCTTCCCTCACCTTGTCCACTATGCACCTCTTGTTTGGCAGGAGAGCATCGCAGTAATCAGTGCACAGGCTCGCCGTAAATCTGACTTCTTGGGCTTAAATCTCAGCTTGCTGACAACTTACCATAAAGCCTTGGGGGAAGTTACTTAATGCCTCTGTGCTTTATTGCTCCACCCTCAAATGCAAGTAATAGGATCTGTTGCATGGGGTGTTGTAATCATTCAGTGAAGCTTCGTATGTAAAGTTTTAAAAGCAGTGTTTGGCACTTAGTAAGCCCCCAGCTGCTAGTGTAAGGTGATTATGCTCGTTTTCTAACTACCTTTACACACGCTGTTGTCCTCTCTGATACCCCTTTTCTACTTGTTTCCTACTGGAATCTTGCCCAATTCAAATGGTCCATTCCTAAGCTGGTTTTTCTTTCATTCTTCCCCTAATTGGAAGTAATTTCTCTCCTGTTACTATTTCTCACTTTCTTTTTTGTAATGTGGTTATTTATTTGCATATTTATGTTGTCTTCCCTGGAACATTGCAAACAGGGTGAGGGCAGGATCCAAGTCTGGTACATTTTGCTAGTTCTCTGGTGCACTAGCACTCAGATAATTAGAATGAATGCCTGATCAGATGTGTGTTTCAGAAAAATAATAGGAGTGCAAAGGAAAGATTAGAGCTGGAGGGGCTGAAAGGCAGGGAACCCAATTAAGTGGCTATTGTGATCCAGGATAGAGGAGGTGAGGGCTCAGCAAATGACAGGAGGAATAAAATTGAGGGCATGAATCATCAAGTGTCCCAGAATTGCATGACTACACCTGCAGCCTAAAAGTTGGAAACGAAATAGAGAGTAAAAGGGTTTCTGTCACATTTTAAGTTCTCTTTTACTTTGTTGCAGTTACAGTATGGTTTCTTCTGTGTAATAGTACTAGATTGATTTTCTTCTATAGATATTATCTGTATCTGTACACAATTGTGATATGTTGATTAACTGGAAGCTCTTTTTCTAACAGAAAAATGAAAACCGATTCTATCTGAAGGAAGTGAATTTCAGCATGTATTTGGTTAATGGCTCTGGTAAGAAAAGCATGGGCCTGGGGAAAGAGCGTGGGTTGCACTGAAGGAATAGAAGCTAAATAGGCCCTTATTTGTTACTAAATAGGGCCTTATTTAATAGAACAGAAGATGCTATGTAAAAAGTGTACCTTGACCACACTAAAGTCAGTAAGTTAGACTATAGTGCTCTGTCTTTTGCAGTATCATCTTTTCAAAGTAAAATGGATAATAGTTAAGGATATGACTAATTTTTAGACTATAGAAACATCTATAGAAAGATAAGAGAACCTAGTTATGGTAAGAATTGTTTCTTGAGGGTAGACCCTGTCTCCCAAGCTCCCATAATTTATTGTAGAATCCTGAGATCTGTCCCATTTTTGGTGTTGTTTCTTGGTGTTTTGTTTTGTTTTGAGACAGAGTCTCAAGATTTCTCCCTGCGTGGAGTGCTTGTGGCTTCATAGCTCACAGCAACCTCCAACTCTTGGGCTTAAGTGAGCCTCTTGCCTCAGTTTTTCTTTTTCTTTTTTTATTTTATTATTCACTTTTAGAGACAGTATCTCACTTTATCACCCTTGGTAGAGTGCTGTGATGTCACAGATCATAGCACCCTCCAACTCCTGGGCTTAGGTGATTCTCTTGCCTCAGCCTTCCGAATAGCTGGGACTACAGGTGCCCACCACAACACCTGACTATTTTTTTGTTGCAGTTTGGCTGGGGCTGGGTTTGAACCCACCACTCTCGGTATATGGGGCTGGCACCCTACCCACTGAGACACAGGCGCTGCCCCTTGCCTCAGTTTTTCTATTTTTAGTAGAGATGGGGTCTCACTTTTGCTCAGGCTGGTCTAGAACTTGTAAGCTCAAGCAATCCACCCACCTCCATCTCCCAGAGTGCTAGGATTATAGGTGTGAGCCACTGTGCCCAGTCTATTTCTTGTTTTGTTTTGTTTTGAGACAGAATCTCACTTTCTCACCCTGGGTAGAGTGCTGTGGCATCATAGCTCACAGCAACCTCACACTCTTGGGCTCAAGCAATTCTCTTGCCTCAGCCTCCCAAGTAGCTGGGACTACAGTAGCCTGCCACAACACTCAGCTGTTTACTAACTTGTTTCTTTTCTTTAAAGTTTTCAGCATTGCAAATGACAATCTCAGCTACTGGGATGCCCCCCTGGGAAGTTCTTACATGTGCAACAAAGAACAGACTGTTTCAGTGTCTGGAGCATTTCAGATAAATACCTTTGATCTAAGGGTTCAGCCTTTTAATGTAATGGAAGGAAAGTATTCTACAGGTAAGAATCAAACTTTATTGAAAATTTATATTCCTTTGAGTCGTGGAAATTTAAATGTTGAAAAAGAGAAATATGAATTTACCTCTCGACTCTGTTGTAGAGTTCTCATAGCCAGTTGTGTAGCTCTGTATTTGGCTCATCTAGATGGTTTTTTGTTTTTTGGGTTTTTTTTTTTTGTTTTTTTGAGGCAGAATCTTGCTCTGTTGCCCCAGCTAGAGTGCAGTAGCATCATTATAGCTCACTGCAACATCGAACTCCTGGACTTAAGTGATCCTCCTACCTCAGCCTCCTAAGTAGCTGGGACTACAGGTATGAGCCACCATGCCTGACTCATTTTTTCTATTTTTAGTAGAGATGGGGTCTTGCTCTTGCTGAGGCTAGTTTCGAACTCCTGAGCTCAAGTGATCTTCCCACCTCATCCTCCCAGAGTGCTAGGATTACAGGTTTGAGCTACCATGCCCAACCTCAAACTAGATGTTTCTGTGATCTGAAAACCATTTGCAACAAACTTCTTAAAAGCCAAAAACTGACCAAGGTGTAAGATAACAGGTGTTCTCTCTAGGATTTAATTTGTGAGGAAGAGGATGGCACGTGGTAACAGTAGGTTTGAGCATCTTGCATGTGCCTTCTCAGGGCCATCTTCTTGCTGAAAACATTTCATACCTCAATGAAAGCAGTTTGGCCTGATTTTGTTAAGATGAAGGATAAAGCGCAAAGCCTCAGATATCATGAACTATATTTTTGCCAGCCAAAATGATCTGGAGAGTTTTCAAAGCATGTGCCAGTATGAATGAAGCTTTTTGAAGCTCTAGTCAGGGCTAATTGTGGTATTTATTAGATTTTTAATGAAACTCTTATGAAGGGGCCGTTATGATGTGTTCATATGAATACGAAAGATATATTTGGCATTACAGGATTGAAATTTGCATGAAGGGAAAAAAGAACATAAAATTCTTTAATTGACTTGTCCTTTTAAGCCCATTACTTAAAATTGGGGGTTTGTAGATCACATCTCTGCTGAACAGAGCTATTCCAGTAATTCATGTCCTTTCTAACAACTAATTCTATGGTTTAGAAGAAAATGTGGAAGCTGTGTTTAAAAGTGAATATACTGTGAACCATTCAACCTGCTTTTTCAGTGATGTTAAATGCACAGTGTGACTTGGTTAGGCCATAGTAAATGGGGCCCTTCACCCTACCATCCTTATGACTAGACAAGTTAGTCACACTTTAAGAATATTTTCCCATTTGTCTGTTTTGGTCATGTACTTCCATTATTTTAATCCTTTTATAGGTTTATTTTTAGGCTCTTTATCTGGCTCCCCTACTTCGTTACCCTAATTTTAGGTCCAGATTTGGGTTTAGAGTTTAAAATAATTTGCAGTGTTAATATTATTTCAAGTCTGTTTATCTAGTCAGCTGTAATAGAGATGAGCTATACTCTTTCTTTAATTAAAAATTTTGATTTTTATATACATAGAATTAAAAATGTCACCCAAAAGGAAATACAGCATTTAATACTGATATTGAATGTGTAATCTGTTTGTGGAACTAGGTTCTTGGCTGTGGGTAGCCATAAATACAACTCACAGATAATACTTGATTGTATAAGAGGAGAAAATAGAATTGCAGTAAGGTAGGAGAGTATTGATTAGATTTTGCTGGATCAGACAACTTTCTAAACAAGAAATAACCCCTTAGGCTGCCATCCCTGACCAGAGTGATAAGAAATGTAGCAAACATAGGTGTGCTCTCACCTACTGAGCACAATGTGAGAGTCTATGGCACACCTAGATGAGAGGGCACAACTAGAATAGGGACCTTACCTAACAAACTCAGATATTGTAACCCAATCGTTTGTACCCTCACAATAATCTGAAATGAAAAAATAAAAAAAGGAAGTGTCATAAACACACTCAAATTAGACAGAGGTCCCAGTCTCTTGACTTTTACAGCTGTTAAAATCATATATTCTGAGTTAGGGATCTGTTGACTTTCTGTAAATGGCAATAAGTGTTTTGGGCTTTGGGGCCAAATGATCTCTGTCACAACTGTTCAACTCTGCCATGGTAGCACGAAAACAGCCACAGGTAAAACACAATGAGTTCAGTTGTGTTCCAGTAAAACTATTTGTAGATACTGAATTTTGAATTTCACATGCCTCTCACATGTCACAAAATACTTTTTTTTTCAAAACCCTTTTAAAATGTTGAAGCCATTTTTAGTTCTTGGGCCACATTTGGCCAGTGGGCTATAGTTTGCTGACCCCTTACTCTGAAGGAACTCCTGAGCCAGCCCAGCTGTTCGAATCCCATCATACTTTCCAAATCTGTGCCCAGTTTCCCAAAAGACTATTCACTCTACCACTAAGGAGCTAATCTATCTTTGTAGGAATGGGCTAGATTAGGTCTATTCATGTCTGATAAAGCAATACTACTGTTTTGGAACAGACTTAGAATATAAACATATACACGTGTATGTGTATATGTATCATACAATATAGTATGTGTTTATTCATAGATACAAATGAATATATATTCACATATGAATAACTACATATACACACACAAACAAATGGAAAGAAATATGTTTTAGGATTTTAGTTCTAGAACCATCCATAATTTTCTATAGCTTTATCATAAAAATATACCTGTCTTAGTTACTTGAAGTTAACCTTGTAAGAGCATTTCTGACTTTTGAATCAACATCTTTTAGTTTTGGACATTCTTTTTTGATTATACTCATTATTTGTTACACACTTTTTCTCACCTACAGCCCAAGAGTGTTCGCTGGATGATGACACCATTCTAATACCAATTATAGTTGGTGCTGGTCTTTCAGGCTTGATTATCGTTATAGTGATTGCTTACCTAATTGGCAGAAGAAAAAGTTATGTTGGATATCAGACTCTGTAACACTAATCCATATGTGATCTCTGTTATAAAAGAATAAAGCAAGTACAAATTTCAATATGCAATAGTGTTCAATTTAAGGTATACTTAATTGCAGTCCTACTTTTAGAGTGGGTGGTGTGGGGGGATTATGAATTTAAACAAAAAACCCTACAAAACTATAAAATAGAGGTGTAGTCATATGATTTCGGTTTCTCCGACCAAGGAATTTAAAACTGTTCTTTTTTTACAGCAAAAGACAAGTGCTAAATCACCTGGCTTATGTTATTATTTTACTGTTTTGAAGTAGTAATTTAGTATTTTCACTTTAGATATTCTCACTAGAAGTGTGTAAGTTAGGAAAAAAAAATTTAAGAGATTTTTTTTTCCCCTGCATGTTGGGACAACACATTCTACAATGGATTGGTACTGCTTCTTTTGCATAATTTGGGGGGAATTTTTGTTTGCAGGTTGATTTAGTTACTTCAGCATTGCTGCATATTTGACCTGTGAGAGATATGCTAGTCAGTGTGAACAGGGCCTTGTGTTATTATGTTCTTAGCAATGAATGCTTTTCTAATACTTTTTGAATACATTTGTATTTAATGTGGTTGTCATGACAAAAGATACAAAAGCTTTTTAAATTTTAGAGCAAGTATTAATCATATTAATAGTTTTAAAAACTGGATATTTCAGTCTTTTAAATTGCAAGATATAAGACCATTCCAACTGGATATTTCAATCCATTTTTTATGTGCTTTAGAGATAATTGCTAGGCAGTGCCAATTGAGGGCATTAGTCTTTTGTACCCGTAAATTGGTACCCGCAATACTAAAATTAATGCAGATTTCTCTTTAGCCTTGCAGTATTTCTTGTTGGCAGTAATATGTTTTATTCTTTTCTTTTTCTTAAAGAAGAAATGCCAGTATGTCCTAGAACCTAGATTAAGAAGTACACTTACCACACTTATAAAATTACTTACACCTAACCCAGAAGTGTTGGTCTTCTCTTAGTCCATTGTAAAGTTGTTCTTTGTTTGCAGCTTGCATTGATTGCCACAATGTTTATTAATTTGGCTTTCACATTGAAATGGTTCTATGCTAATCAAAACTTAACATTATCGTTCATTATGGTAGAATCATTAATTCATATTCTTTGTGTTCAGTTTTGTGCTCTAAGAGATGTACCAATACTCCATTCATTGCCCACATACCTAACCTAATGTTTCTCGGAGAAAGTAGAACTTTTTTTTTTTTTTTTGAGCCAGAGTCTCAAGCTGTTGTCCTGGGTAGAGTGCTGTAGTGTCACAGCTCACAGCAACCTCAAACTCTTGGGTTAAGCGATTCCCTTGCCTCAGCCTCCCAAGTAGCTGGGACTACAGGTGCCTGCCACAATGCCCAGCTATTTTTTTTTATTTTTTTATTTTTTATTTTTTAGAGACAGAGTCTTACTTTGTCACCCTTTGTAGAGTGCTGTGGCGTCACAGCTCACAGCAACCTCCAACTCCTGGGCTTAGGTGATTCTCTTGCCTCAGCCTTTCAAGTAGCTGGGACTACAGGTGCCCACCACAACACCCGGCTTCAGCTATTTTGTTGTTGTTGTAGTCGTCACTGTTTTAGCTGGCCCGGGCTAGGTTCAAACCCACCAGCCAGGGTGTATGTGGTCAGTGCCCTACCCACTGAGTTATAGGCTCCACCGAGAAAGTAAAACTTGATAGTTAACACATCGAGTTATTTCTTGCTGGTTCTAGAATTTTTTTTTTTTTTTTTTGCACTTAGTCTTAACCAAAAAATTGAGAAGCACTAGAATTTTGTGTGTGTGTTTTAATGGCTAAGCCAATTTCAAGAAATTATTAATATATAGCCATATATGGAAGATTTCTATAGAGGTTGGGGGGAATAGATTATGTGCCTCCCATTCACTAGAAATTGAGAAAAATATCTGGGTTCCAAAATGTTAATATGGAATGTGTCATTACATACAAATGTATGCATATATATACACACATATAGGCAATTGCATGCTAGCATGTGTGTGTCTCTTAACTATCTTTCTAGTTACATTCTAGTGATAAATATTTTCTCTCACTTCAGTTTGCTCTCTGTTTAG